GACATCCTAGGATTTTTATTGACCACCGAGAGTCAGGACCTCGGGTTAATGTCTCATCCGAAAAAAGGATGAGAAAAAAAGCTAGAAATAAAGTCAGAATTGCAGGACAGTCCATTTTACAGACATCAACTGATAGATAGATAGATAGATAGATAGATAGATAGATAGATAGATAGATAGATAGATGATAGATGGATAGATAGATAGATAGATAGATAGATAGATAGATAGATAGATAGATAGATAGATAGATAGATAGATAGATAGATAGATATGTTTTCACTAAAACGTCTTTGTTTTAAAATGGCATTTTAGAATAAAAACGATCCACATGCACACTGTCATGTCACCTAGCATTTCTGAACAGCCCTCCTTTCACACTATACAGGGTGCTTTGAGCACAAAACCCAAGAAAGCAGTGCACGTCATTTAAGAGCAGTGCACATTTATCAACGATGTACTGCTGGATTGTGTCTCACTATAGTTGTTAAACGTGATATTTAATTAATCTTGTCTCAATCTAATGACTCTTCTGTCTTTTGAATCTGTCAGGTAACGTATCACAGCATCAGTACACTGCTTTAATCTTTCATTTTCACGCATGTACTTTGTAATTTTAGCAAAAATCTCTGATACTGTTAATTGGTTCCTGTTGATTTTGCATCTTTTTTACCAGCCAAGTTTATTGAAGCCATTATAATGACACAGATCACTCTGCTTATTCATGCCAGAGTCCTGCAGAAAAAGTGATTGATAGGTGGTAATTTGTGTGTAACTTTTATTTATTTATTTTTGATTTGTTTATGTGTAAAACAAAGACCATGTGGGTCAGGTACAGTAGTTGAAACGGTAGGCTACAAAATAAAAAATTGGTTATGAATTATTTAATTTTTTATTATTAATTAATTAATCGCCGCATACAACGACGATGCCATTGCCCATCGCGATGTTTTGCATTAGACATCGTATTATGCTAAATTGGTTGATATCGGCTATCCCCACTGTATAATAATAAAAAATACTCAATTGGGAGATACAAAAAAGAAATGTGAGACATTGTATAAAAAAGTAAAATTGCAATTTTAAGAAAAAAAAAGATAGAATTGCAAGAAATAAAATTAGAACTTCAAGACAGTCCATAAATTGTTAGATAGAAATTCACAAGAATGGCTGAATTGGATTGTAAACTTATTTTTTTTGCATTGAACAGCAGAAAAAAGTGACAAAATATAAACTAATTTTAATGATTAGAAACTAAGTCAGAATTTCAGAGAAAGTATATTAACCTGAAGTAAGAAATAGTTGCAATTTTAAGAAAATAAAGTCAGAATTTTCAGACATCTACAACAGATATGAATTTTGAGACAGAATATAAATTTTAAGTAGCGGTGCGGTGGCACACTGGGTAGCGCTATTACCTCACAGCAAGAAGATCACTGGTTTGAGCCTCGGCTGGGTCAGTTGGCATTTCTGTGAGGAGTTTGCATGTTCTCCCCATGTTGCAATTGTCATCCAGGTACTCCGTTTTCCCCTACAAGTTCAAAGACATGCACTACAGGTGAATTGGGTGAGCTAAATGAAGCTTAAATAAGAGTTAAGGAGGGTGTATTGGTGTTTCCCAGTATTGGGTTGCAGCTGGAAGGGCATCCACTGTGTAAAACGCATGTTGTATACTGTAAGTGGGTGGTTCATTCTGCTGTGGCGACCCCTGATTAATAAAGGAACTAAGCCGAAAAGAAAACAAATGAATAATGTACATTTTGCTAAACGCATAGTTTTTAACTTTGCAGAACATAAAGTTGCAATTTTGAGAAAAAAGGTCAAAGATTAGAATATAAAATCTCTGAACCATGATTAAGTGCACTAAGAACCCCAAAGTGCTTTGTTACACTTTTTTTGTTGTGAGCTGTGAGCCTCATTTTGTGGTTATTCTTAATAGGATCTGTGTAAATTAGGTTTTTGATGCCACACATTATGAGAGCCAACGATGATGGTGTGTTTGGGGAGAGCAGGAGACATATGATGGCATCCATCAGCTGTTTGGTCCACTGAAAGCCCATGAGAATCTGCCAAGGACTTTGTATTGTGCTGTCAGAGGAAGGTGATGCATGGATTTGCTAAAGACCAAACTGAATGTAAGATCCAAAGCAGATGTTTTTCTCTTCTGCAAATCCCAAATGCATCCTAATCTACAAAGAACATATCATAATGGAGAAAAAAAATCTTCAGTAGAAAATCAGAATAGTAGATGAAGAATTTTTTTCAGCCAAGGTCAAATGGGGCACGTGCATGAGACAATGGTGATGGCTATGCATCCAATCACCAAGATCTAATTTGAAATTTCATTGGCGATGGAATCACATCAGGTGTCTTCACAGAGGTAAATGGTTTCGTTCAAGGTTGGCCGAGCTATTGTGGATCATTTCTTCTTGGGGTTCAGAGGTTCCTCTCGACCTAACAGGTCTCCACATGTGTCAGATGATGCTGTTGTGGTCAAAGTCTAGAGGCAACAAATGAACAATGAAATGCAGGAAAGACAGGACATCTGGAGCCTTAAATTAAGTTTAATGAGTTGAGAAGTTCTGTGTGATCCAGTTGTGTGGATCTATTTAAACAATTTGTAAAATCTAATCTTATTTAAACCAACTGTATTTTATTATAAAATTAATTTAGTTTAACAAACAAACTGTGTTAATTTAGTTCCCAGCATGCATTTTGTAGGAGTGGATGCAGAAAAGAATGCTAAATGACCCACTTAATATATTGGATACTGTCACTCCAAAATGCCCTGATGATATCCTATCTGGATGTGTGTTTTTTTTTAGGTATGATGACAAAAGTGTTTAATTGTGTTGTATTTATTGTGTTTAACTGTGAAAAATGATTGTGTTGCTTTTTAATTTTAAGGGCTTCCATTTTGGTGAGGAGTGGAGCTTTTGATGCTTCATGTTCATGTTAGCAAAAAATATGCCACACAATCTGCTATCTACTGAAATTACTGTTGACCTTGTTGAAAACAAACTGCGTCTACTTTTTACTAAGAGGGTGAGATCTTTTAGGAGAATATGCAAGTGGCATAGCAAGTGAATGTTCCATTGTGTACTCTTCAATCATCTAAAGATTATTTTACGCCACAGCTCTTTATGAATCTAAATAACCATTATTGTATACAGTATTTTGCAGTTTCCGTGTTTCCCCCATACTTTTAAGAAGCTATAGCTTTTAAAATTAAAGGTTCTTGGCTTCATGAAGGGGAACTTTTATGCAACTTGTTTTCCTGTAGTATAAGAGTTTCATTTCATTAAAATGTTCTTCAAATTTAAAAGCTAGTTTCTTTTAAGAACTGTTCACTAAAAGGATTTTTGAGGAATCCAAATTGGTTCTTACTTGATTTTTCTGCACAGACCCTTTTCAGAAATCTTTATTTATACATGTGAAGAGCATTTTTTGCCCTGTTTGTTGACATTTATCATCAACTGAATCTTTAACATTGCACAAAAGGTTCTTAGTAGTGCAAAAAAAAAAAAAAAAAAAAAATGTATTCAACTGTTCTTCAAAATACATTTTTAAATATTAAGGTCCTATATGTGTGGAAAAAGGAGGTTAGAACCCCTTTACATTAAATAATTATTTGTGGATTGAAAGGTGTCCATGAGTGGTGAATATTCTTTATTTTTAGGAGTGCAGAAGAACCACTCTGAGTTTATAAAAAAAAAAAAAAAAACATTTTGTCCTAATTGAGAAAAAAAATAATATCAGAAGAACTCAAATTTGGGCAATAGCAAGATGGAACTTAAAGGTTCTTTGTGGAACTGCAAATGTCATTAATCTAGGGTTTTTATTTTTTAGGGTGCAGTAAAATAATACCAAATCAATATTTCATGTCCATATATTCATTATTTATTAAGTAGCTGTGTTTAAGAGGGACAATGTACAGTCAGATTACCACAAACAAATCTCTTTTATGATAATGACTGCACTGTATTAATGACATATAGGCCATCTGTGCTCTTTAGTCCTATCTCACTGTGACTAGACAGGCCAATTTTCACTGACATGTAAATGTGGGCATTCATATCTTAACATTTGTTTTCTCTGTGTCAACACTCCAAAAAAATTTTTTTTTTTGCTGCTTGTTCAAACTGCTTATTTCAAATGAGCTTAATCAACACAATGCTTGAGTTTTTTTTTTTTTGAGGGGGGATAACAATTGTTTTATGGTCAATCAACTTGTAAAAACAATTTAGTTAACTTAAACGACTTGTGTTGTGTTGACAAGATGAAGGAATTGTGTTTAACCGTGGATTTTTGTACAGTGAATAATGGCCTTTTTAAAATAATGAGATTTGGGATTTATAGAGTGCAGAGTTCACCATGAACACATTATTCTATTTCAAAAGATCATAATACACGTTAATGATGCATTTATAGCTGTATTTAACAGATTTACAGTTTAAGTGTAAGATTTTCTGTTTCTTTAAGAGGTCATGCTGATATGAACGTTTGTTGAGTGGACGAAATAACTATAGAGATATGAACTTCTGCCAACATCCCAGTAGATGAACCCTCACTTTACTATAAATGCCACGGATCCATGAAATGTTCCCATAAAATGGTTAAACGATCATCAGACCGGCAATCAGTATTTTAATTAAGAAAGTGCATTTAAAGTACATGGTAGAACACACATAATGTTAGATAACTTATTTTTCGAACTGCATTTTTATTTATACTTGCATATGCATATTTAACTGCATTTTTAAATGTCTTCATTCGTGTGTATTTTGATTGAATAGATTCAAAATCATGTCACTAAATCTTTCTTCTGAGCCGTGCTTATGAATTATAGAGTAGGGAGTCTCAGGTAAGCGTGATTCTGCAATCCTATCTCCGCCCTTTAGCTCAGTCATTGGCTGCCTCTTTTAAATATGCACTGCAGGGGCTTGTGATTGGATAGATTCTTACACAGCTGATTTCATAAAGCAAATTCTTGGGAAGTTGTGTAAAATCACTACGAGACATACTCAAGGTCCACAGGGAATCTCTTAATCTATGAGGAGGGCAATCACTGATGAGCGGCGCTGGACTTTCTTTCATGTAAGTAGCGGTGCTTTTATATCTGCCGCATTGTGTCTTTGAAGTTAAAGCGGCTGCTTTGATCTGATCTTTCGGCGCGCGTCTAATTAAACGTTCTTTGCCGATCGGATGAGATGTGATAAGTGATATTGATAAATATTCGGGAGATCAGATAAAGGTTCCAGGTTGTTTTTCTTTTGTCTTGGTTCTGTTTATTTAGTTCGCATTTGTTTAGTTCGCATCTGCTTTTCGGATTTAAAAGACTTTATAAACAATTAAGAAACCACAAACAAATGTTTGTTATTTGTTCTGCTTTTGATCTGTATAAAGATTATGTTTTATGCTTTGCTTTTTATGCATGCATGCTTTGATGAGATCCTATTTCGTTAATAATATGTATGTAACTAATCATAGTAAATGTTAATTTTTAAGTGTGTTGGATTTAAATTTCAGACAACTACATATTAAAACTTTTTTATTATTATTATTTTAAGTAAAAGACAACTCCATCACCTTCATAGAGATCCAGATGTTTTCATACTTATTTTATAATTAAGGATGAGTAGTTTAATATAAAGCAGTGTTGTGTCATAAGAAGAGAGGTGTATGACTGACTGACTGTGCTGGTGTTTGTCGCAGTCCGATCAGAGACCAGAAATGCATGAACACACACTTAAGATGAGAGTAAATATAATTTATGAGGTGAAGGTCACAGGAAAAAAGCAAAGAGTGTTTACTATTTCACATTGTGGGTTTATATATATGCTATCATTTAAAATAAGAGAGACATTACAAACTTTGAACGTTTTACAGTGCAATTTTTTTTTTTCATCGTGATGCACATCATCTAACATCTCTGTTGCAACTGCAGTGAGTAAGTGTGTTGTGTGATAACTGCAGTGAGATGAAGCTGATGGCATCATTTCTAGTCTAACTGCCTCCTCGAGATGCAGAGCTGGTGCAAGGACAGATTCACCTCTTCTTGTGGTTCCTGTGCCTGTCTGTGTCTAAATTTATGACCCTGTAGCTGTGAAGACTTTTTAGTTTGGATCACATCCAGCCCTCACCTCATCCGAGAAGCTTTTACATCATCATATTATGATGACAGATACGGTACATACGGTACTCTTGCAGCATTGGTGTTCCACTGCCCTTACACAGCAAATTCATCAGAGTTAAATTCTCGGTGTTGAAGCATTTCAGAGTAAAGTGTTGACGTTAAAGAGTTAGATTTTGATAAATGAATATAATAAGAGTTAGAATTGATTTTATTCAGTGCGAAATCAAGGAGTTATCTTTTTTACACTTGGTGGTGTTATTTCCAACATCCGGGAATTCATGCAGCCCCAGTCACTGAAGAATTTTCCAGACGCCATTTTCCATCTGAAGTTTAGAACAGCAACTGGTGAGTCAAACAACTACCTAAATGTTGGTATTTTACTGACTTTCTTTAAGGAAATACAGTTGTAAACATATTGTTAAGTTAATAACTTTAGAATGTAGTGACAATTTTAATCTTCTGCGGTTCATTCATGGTCGTTTGTGTATCTAGCTTAACTGCATTACTATTGACTTCTTTTCAAGAATGTTTTTATATGTGCTCACGCATACATAGTGCATAAAAACATCAAATGTACATGTTCAACACATTTCTGTCACGCTTAATGCCATTTTGTGCGTTGTTACCCATCTGTAAAATAAAATCGACACTTCTCCTTTAATTCGAAGCAAACTAGCGAGGGAATTCCCGGAGCAGCCTAGCCTACTCTGCCCGGATGCTAACGGCAACACAGGACGGTTTCCATAACCTCTGGAGATTTTCTAAAACATATCTGGTGAGTAAATGAACATATGCTTTCTTGTAAAAGGCTTCCTGACTAAAACATATGATTGTTTGTTATCCGTGTATGTTAATTTGGTTATTTTAAACACCGCAGCCCTTTTAAACTGGTTCATTCGTGGCCGTCCATATACCGTTAGTCCATAGAGTCGCGTGATAACGTACGCTTGAATTATATTAAGTGTTGACAACCATTAAAGTCGGAATGTTAACATTAATGTCTTTAAATGACCGCGTTTGCACTTTCTCAGACATTTGACGTTACAGAAGTCTCCCGGAAGTTGCGGGACTAACGTTAACGTTATCCCGCAAATGCACAGAGACTCCCAGATGCCCGCAAATGAATGATAATCTCCCGGAAATCGCGCGTCTCCCGCCCGGTCATCAAACACATTGCACACCCCTCTCCACCGCATCCCTCCCAGCTCTTCAGGTACGTCGCGCGCAAGTCACCCCCACCGCTCTTTAGGTACGTCGCGCGCAAGTCACCCCACCGGTCTTCAGGTACTCATCTCTCCCGCTACCTCTCGCAAATCAACTCTGTATCCCCCGAAAATGACTTTTCCCAACTCGGGATGTCTGACGTTAGTAAGTTAGGCTATTTCTGTAGTCAGGAACATCTTAGTCAAGCTTTTTCTCCCGCATGATATTGTGCTTAAAACTAGGCTAAACTTAGCATGTACTGTACACAACATTTCCGTTTTATTAAAGACAATTTAGTGCGTTGTAAACAGCCACCTGTCTGTAAAATTAATCAACTGATTCATATTTGAGCAGCCTAATGATGATACAGGTTTGATTTGTAGATTTATAATCAATAATCAACATCTGAATCAAAAGATATCTGAAAAAGTGTGAGGCATACTTTGTGATGTTCATCTCTCTTTTTTATCTGAAGGTTATGCATATGTGTTAGATACTAATGTGTTGTTGTTTTTTAACAGCCACAGTTCTCTGTACAATAACACAAGACCCTGGGACGGTGGCTGATTAGAGACGGATGGTGTATTTCCAGAGTTGGTGAAATGACCAAGCACACCTTCTTGGTCATATGTGGTGATAATAATGAAGGTATGTTTGATAAAGTTCTGTATTTGTTTCACAATAAGCTGAGAGGGTATTAGAGCATTAAAGAATAACAAATGACATGAAGGTGATAAGTTTTGTATTGTGGGTGAACTGTTACTTAAATAATGTTTTGCTCTTTGCTTTGCACTTTTCCTCTTCTGCTTATCCTAATAGTTAAGATTATATTTGGACCTGAAACATCTGCTAGACTCCAGGAAAGGTGGCGTCAATACTGGTCCTGAAAGGGCCTAACAAGTTGAATCTGGTAAAGAAACATGCACGCACGGGCGCACACACGCACGCACGCACGCACGTACACGCTTACAGAAAACTGTAAGTTTATGAAGTTTATGAATATTTTTTACACTGTGGCAAATATTTTGGGGAAGTCAGCATCACTAAATGATATAAAAGATTTTAAGCTCCTCTAAATTTTGCTCCAAGTGTTGTGTTAAATTCAGGATTCTGGACCGACAGCTGCCTGTTTTTCCAGTTCTAGTCATTGTGATTAACCTAATTGTTTTTGGAGATCCAACAGTGATGTATGTGTTTTTTCTACTTTTCCATATCCTGTCACCTCAACCAGCTGGGAGAGTCAAGTTGTGGATCATCATGAAGATTTTCAAAAGGTGAGTTTAGATTTCTTGAATGTTTTATTTACTTTAAATGTTCTTTTAAATATATCATAGAATTTGATTGCAATTTGTTTTCAAACATTTTTCTTAGTCATGCTGGAGTCTTGAAGAGTTCTTAGAAGAGCATCACCCTATATCCGTGCATCAGGAACCACCAGACGAGCGATCAGCAGCTACTACATCGTCATGGATAAAAAGGTCATCCTGTGGCTGGGAAGCACTTCATTCACAGGACATGCTTGATTAGATTTCCTAGCTCCAGTTTGTTTTCACACAAGTTTCCAGCATTTATACCTTCATTTAAACTGCTGTGTTTGATATGGAGGACCAAGGAAACACCAGAAGTGAAAGATTTGCACGCCAAGTTGTTTAAAATGTCATTTCAGAAGAAAACTATGCGTTCAGAAGAAAACTGATGAAACATCAAGTTTGGACCAAAGGACTAAAACAGCCTTTTTAAGCACTGGTCATACATATTTTGTTGATACTGTCTGTACTAATAAAACATTTAAAGCATATTTGACATTGTTGCATTTTAAAAACTGAATGAATTGTTGAAGTGGTGAATGTTTTTAAATAAAATGTTTTTTTCTTTTGTAATTTACAGTCTATTTGAGTTTTTTACCATATTTACACTCAAGAGAGTTGAATAAAATAATATATTACACCAGGCGGTGTTAAATATAGTTACATTTTTTAACTCTGCCCAGAGTTAAAATTAACCCTTACTTCGGTGTCAATGTGCCAACCCTTTTGAAAGTGTTGATTTAACTCTTTTTTGAGTGGACCCCATGAGACACTTTCAAAGTGTTGAAATTAACACCCATAGAGTTGTTTTGGGTCCCCATATTTTGCTGTGTATCCAGCCATTCAGAGTGGTACAGCTATAAACACCAAATAAATTACAATAAAATGACATGTTTACTCTGCTTTTACTGTTTCTGCCCCCGGTGTTTTGCTGCACTGGGTTATTAAAATAAAAGTGGTAATGTTAGTAATATAGCACAGGAAAGAACAAAGTGACAACCTCTTCTGAGGCCTTTAATCAGTCTGAAAATGTACATTTCTGTCATCAGCGCTCAAATTACCACTGCGCCCGAACCTTTGGTCCGGTAATATCACTAATACAATACTTATTTGAGTGGTTTGATTACACTTTCATCTCAAACAGAGGAGCATATATTAAGACAACCTTAATCTAAATTAATTACACGGCTTTGATGTTAGAGTTCAATGGGTTGATTAGTAGAGTAGGGACATGCATATTTTGAGAAATCATTACTGCAAACACATACACACATCATCTCCCATCTCTTTGTGTTTTTCAGCAGCTTGAGCATGTCGTCTCTGCTTTTATTATTTGCCAAATACTGCACAAATGCTGTTATGTAAACAATTTCGGAAGAATTTTCCTTATTGTTTTTTTTTTTGTGTGGTGTTTTATATGTAAATTATGGGTTGTGTTGCATTGTGCTGTA